ATATAAGAGACTTCTCCGCTCCCGACAACTCTCTTATATCCGGGTTACACTGTATATGTATGGGTGACGCAAACACATATATATATATCGATATGTACAAGTATAGGTATGTATGTATATATATATATATATATATATATATATATATATATATATATATACATATGCATATACGTGTCACACATATCTAAATATAATTCAATATTAAACATAATTTAATAGCTAAGATACAAACACACGCAGAAACACATACATACACCCACGTATATATAAATTGTAATATACGAGTGTATCTATAAATATTGTAAGCTTTCAATATTTTCATACAACAGAAACACATAATGAAACGCTAACACGCCCATATACACCTGTATATATTCAGACATAAATTAAAGTGTTAATATATTGGTACTATACATGATAGCATGCGGAATAGAAATTACAATTTGCATAAATAAATGTTAAACATACTATGTATTAAGTGTTAGTAGCTTTAAATAATATTATATAGTAATGATAATATATTATTAATAATGTATTATAAAAAAAAATTAATATTTATGTATAATAAAACCAGTCATATTTTAAATAATTCTTATGAAGTTAATAACAGATCTTATTATTAATTACTTCATCCTATATATATATATATATATATATATATATATATAGGTTTGTGTGTTTGTGCGTGTGTGTGTGTGTGCATGTATGTATGCCAGGTTAGCTATAAAAGTAATGCGTCCTATTTATTTCCAAGGAATAAACAACAGATACTACAACAGCACTAATAGAGAGAGTAAGTTATTAGAAAGAAAAGTGTAAAATCTTTGCCAGCGGAACTAACTCACGTATTTCTGTTGCCATTGCTGAAAAACATTACTAGGCTCTTAACCGTGCTCACATCCACTATTTGGTTTCTGTAAACGTTCAGCAAACGTCGATAAATGTCGATGGCGACAATTGTTTCCGCATCTCTGCTTCATATGCAATTTCATGTTAAATGTCATTTTGTCCAGCTGTTGCCTGTAAAAACAAAAACAAGGAAACGATTATAGGTTATTGGTAGGTATGTCTGAAATTTATCGCCAAGCTACCAACAATAATAAGACTATTAAATATGACGCTTCAAATATATTAATTCTGAAATATCTATTTAAAAATAATTTAATACTTCAATATCAGAAATAATGATAAAAGAAATGTACTGTGATTTGGCTGGGCGTGGAAAGACAGGACTGATAAGTATGTCAGTTAAATTCTCATTTTCATCATTGATAAGTTATTAAGAATTATTACTTCACAACAACATCATCATCAACAGCAACTACCACAATAATAGATGGAATAATAATAATAATAATAATAATCTTTATTGGCATAGTAGTCCTTGTAGACTGCAATGTATCTTTGAAGATCTCCAAGAAACTATCAAAATACAAGGACTTTGAAATCAAAATCTCAAAAATGTGGCACATGAGAACACGAACAATTCCAGTTGTAGTTGGAGCCCTCGAACTGATTGGAAAAGATTCCACTTGACTTATTGAAGGGATTCCTGGTAGAACATGCTTTAAAGAAAATTGTTCGCACGAATACGGCCCACACCCTACGAAGGGCTTTATCTATGTAAAATATGTGTGATTTTTTTAATTGCTCAATGGAAAATGTCATGATGCCATTTCTGACCCTAGGTCTCTGTTCGGGACACGGAATGAAATAACTACACCAGAAATTAAAGGAAATAAAATAAATAATAATAATAATAATAATAATCTTATTTTAGGTTTGCACAGTGTTAACACCCACTGAATATAAAACTTGGCATGGTAAAGTGGGCTAATATCTTTACTGAGAAACATTAAGGAAACTGCAAGAAACTGGTATAAACACCACTCGAATCAGGTTACTGAAATAAACCTGTAACAATTTTATGGAAATTTACAACGCACACGGACAGAACAAGCTAATCGCCCACAAATCGTAATCAGAGATCGTAAAAAGAAAATGTGCTTTCTTATTGACATAGCAGTCCCTGCAGATTTTAATATATCTTAGAAGATATTCAAAAAACTATCAAAATAGAATAAAAAAATGTGGCACATGAGGGCATCAACAATTCCAGTTGTAGTTGGAGCCCTCGGTTTCATTGGGAAAGGTCCTAAAAGACTCATTGAAGGGATTCCTGGTAGCCCATGCCTTAAAGAAATACAAAAACATTGTACTCACATGTACAGCTCACACTTTAAGAAGGATTTTATCTATGTAAAATGTGTGTGATCTTTTTATTTTTATTTTTTTTTATAAAAATGACCAGGGAAAATGTCATGATGCCATTTCTGACCTTAGGTGTCTAGTACGGACCCAGAAGGAAATGTGCATACAACAGAAATCAAAGGAAAATCTACTACTACTACTACTACTACTACTACTACTAATAATAATAATAATAATAATAAAGATAATAAAGTTTTTAGACATAAGAAGAATTTTCCTTCTCATT